ATGTAGATACAGTCACTGTGAATTTTTTGGAATGTTCAAAATCTTTATTTTTAAAATTCTTTTAGTGAAGGGAACCTTCTTTTATTAAATGATGCTCTGGCAAAACATGAGACGTTTTTCATTCGCTGTGGTATCTTCCTTATTCTTGAGAAGCTGAAAATCATCACCTACAGAAACCTCTTCAAGAAAGTGTAAGAGTTTCATTTATATTGCTTGGCATGGCTAAGGAGTCATTAACTGTGTACAATATGATGTTATAATAGGGAAAAAGTCAGATCAACGAGAATTACAGGTAGTCCTCGACTTATGACCAGCAATTTCTGATATTTGATATTTGTTAAGTGAGTTTTGTCCCACTTTCTGGCCACAGATGTTAAGTGAATCACTGCAGATGTTACATTAGTAACACAGTTTAATGAACCTGGCTTCCCCATTAGCAATAGCAATGGCATTTAGACTTATATACGGCTTCATAGTGCTTTGCAGCCCTCTCTAAACGGTTTACAGAGTCAGCCTATTGCCCCCAACAATTTGGGTACTCATTTTACACACCTTGGAAGGATGGAAGGCTGAGTCAACCTTGAGCCTGTTGAGATTTGAACTGCCAAATTGCAGGCAGCTGGCAGTCAGCAGACATAGCCTGCAGTACTACACACTAACCACCGCGCCACCAAGTCACCATTGATTTTGCTTGCCAGAAGGTTGCAAAAGGTTGGTCACATGATCTCAGGACACTGCAACAGTCATAAATATGAGTCAAATGCCAATTGCCATTCCCACGCACATGGGGATGTTGCAATGGTGTAAGTGTGAAAAACAGTCATAAGTCACTTTTAGTGCCATTGTAATATTGAACAGTCACTAAATGAACTATTGTAAGTCAACAACTATCTATATATTACGTATTTACTCTTTATTGTAAGGAGTACTTTTTGAGTTTACACTTGTTGAGCAAAGAACCTCTGACCATCTTCCTAAATGGAAATGTCTGCTTGGAAAATCTTTTAATCAGTAATATGTTTGCCAGAAGCATCTGGAATCTATTTTTTTTAATGTAAGATGCCATATTTTAGATTTTCAGAGACTTGCCTGTTGTTTTAAACATCTGGCAAGAAAAATACTGCCCCTCTGCATTTTTTTAAAAAAGAGAGGTCTCTGAGATGGGAATCGGAAAGCTATCTTTTCCGACTGTAGTAACTATACAGACCAGCCGAGAAAAGTCATATTAAGGGTATAAAGAGAATTGTTTGATTTATATGAATTTTATATTCTGTTTTGATTCAGCATTTATAGCTAGTAATAGAAATAATGCTTTATGTGAGCTGAATTATTCTGGAATAAGCAGACTGGCTTATTTGGATTAACCCTAATCTATTAGTAAAATATCAAGATTCTCTTTCATTCCCCAAATAAAGTAATAATGGGGCAGTTTGGTTCCACATATTTGGGATTAACCAAATATTAGGGCAGTGTTTCTCAACCTTGGCAACTTGAAGATGTCCGGACTTCAATTCCCAGAATTCCCCAGCCAGCATTCGCTGGCTGGGGAATTCTGG